GAAGAATGAACAAATCCGTCTTGGAAAAAGTGTAGTCAGAATGCTCCTCAGAAGTGAGGATGGTGAGACTTGGTCTCAAGTACTTTGGTTATATTATCCGAAGGCACCAGGCCCTGGAGAAAAACATCATGCTTGGTAAAGTAGAAGGTCAGCAAAAGAGAGGAAGACCCTCAGTGAAAGAGGCCGACACAGGGGCTGCAATCATTGGCTCAGCATAGCAATGATTGTGAGGATGCTACAGGACTGGGTAGCGTTTCATTCTGTTGTACCTAGGATTGCTGTGAGTCTGAACTGACTCAACCACAAGTAACGACAATGACAATTAGTTGCATGTGATTCATGTTCAAATATAATTATATATGCTTTGAAACCTAATGACTTTGCTATTACTGAGTGACGAAAATGTTCTAAAGTTGGTTGTGGCAGGTGATAATTGCCCAATTCAGTGAATTTACTACAAAACACTTAATTGAACATTTTAAATGGGTAAGTTGCACGGTATGCAAAGCTGTTAAAATATTAATAAATAAGTTATATGATGAAAACTATATTTACTACATTTTTGTAATTTATAAGTAAACTTTCTTTTTTCCTTGAAAACGTAGTATTTCATGATTAAGTAGTAAGGAAAATTTGTTTTCTTAGCATTTCCCAGTATTTCTGTCCCTGGTTTTATTTTATTCAATATTTTATCCCTTCTTTAAAAAAAATTAACAACTCTGAATATTAGCCTAAAATTTGCAGGTTACCCATCAGTAATCTTGACTGACAAAAAATAGAGTTTGCGTAGCCTGTGGTGTTGAAGAAAATTATACTTGTTTTCCACTAGATGGCACTAGTAGGCAAATATTTTTGCTCAGAGTCTTTGGGCTTTCTCTCAATAAAATTCTTACACTGCCACATTATTTTCATTCACATTGACTGGTTTTGGTAAAAGAAAAAGAAATGGAAAGCTATGAGAAAATTTTTTCCTAGACTTGCTAAGCCCCAGGGTAAACAGAATCCTCATGTTACAGGTGTGGAATGTAATACAAGGAGAAATTGGCTTGTCCAAGGTCACAATCTTGTTAGTGGTAAAGCCAAGGGTAAGAGTCCAGAACCCCTGACTCTTAGTTGCTATCACAAATTACACAATAGCAAGGGTGAGGGAGTGGGCACCATAGTCAAAGGAAAAAAAAAATGAATATCTATTGTGCCATTGTATCCATATTATCTCATTTGATTCCTAAACTATTAACTCCATGTGTATTATCTAATATAATCTTAACTATACAATTGGCTCGAGTTGCAGTAGTGAAGGATTCTATGGGGAAAATATTAAACAATGCAGGAAGCATCAAAAGAAGATGGAAGGAATACACAGAGTCATTATACCAAAAAGAATTGGTCGACATTTAACCATTTCAAGAGGTAGCGTATGATCAGGAACCTATGGTACTGAAGGAAGAAGTCCAAGCTGCACCTGAAGGTATTGGCGAAAAGCAAGGCTCCAGGAATTGATGGAATATCAATTGAGATGTTTCAACAAACAGACGCAGCACTGGAAGTGCTCACTCATCTATGCCAAGAAATTTGGAAGACAGCTACCTGGCCAACTGACTGGAAGAGATCCATATTTATGCCTATTCCCAAGAAAGGTGATCCAACCAAATGTGGAAATTATCGAACAATATCATTAATATCACATGCAAGTAAAACTTTACTAAAGAGCATTCAAAAGCAGCTGCAGCAGTATGTCGACAGGGAACTGCCAGAAATTCAGGCCACATTCAGAAGAGGATGTGGAACCAGGGATATCATTGCTGATGTCAATGGATCCTAGCTGAAAGCAGAGAATACGATAAAGATGTTTACCTGTGCTTGTGTGGATCATAACAGATTATGGATAACATTACGAAGAATGGGAATTGTAGAACACTTAATTGTGCTCATGAGGAACCTGTACACAGATCAAGAGGCAGTTATGTTCAGACAGAACAAGGGGATACTGCATGGTTTAAAGTCAGGAAAGGTGTGTGTCAGTGTTGCATCCTTTCACCATACCTATTCAATCTGTATGCTGAGCAAATAATCCGAGAAACTGGACTATACGAAGAAGAAAGGGGCATCAGGATTGAAGGAAGACTCATTAACAACCTGCAATATGCAGATGACACAACCTTGCTTGCTGAAAGTGAAGAGGACTTGAAGCACTTACTGGTGAAGATCAAAGACCACTGCACTCAGTATGGATTGTACTTCAACATAAAGAAAACAAAAACCCTCACAACTGGACCAATAAGCAACACCATGATAAACGGAGAAAAGATTGAAGTTGTCAAGGATTTAATTTTACTTGGATCCACCATCAACACCCATGGAAACAGCAGTCAGGAAATCAAAAGACGCATTGCATTGGGCAAATCTGCTGCAAAAGACCTCTTTAAAGTGTTGAAAAGCAAAGATGTCACGTTGAAGACTAAGGTGTGCCTGACCCAAGCCATGGTGTTTTCAGTTGCATCATATGCATTCGAAGCTGAACAATGAATAAGGAAGACTGAAGAAGAATTGACACATTTGAATTGTGGTATTGATGAAGAATATCGAATATATCATGGACTGCCAAAAGAACGAACCAATCTATCTTGAAAGAAGTACAACCAGAATGCTCCTTAGAAGGAAGGATGGCGAGACTACGTCTTACATACTTTGGACATGTTGTCAGGAGGGATCAGTCCCTGGAGAAGGACATCAAGCTTCGTAAAGTAGAGGGACAGCGGAAAAGAGGACCCTCAACGAGATGGACTGACACAGTGGCTGCAACAATGGGCTCAAGCATAACAACGATTGTGAGCATGGCACAGGACTGGGCAGTGTTTCGTTCTGTGGTGCATAGGGTCGCTATGACTTGGAACCGACTTGACGGTACCTAAAAACAACAACATACAATTGGCTGCTAACCAAAAGATCAACAGTTCAAATCCACCAGTTGCTCCTTGGAAACCCGATGGGGCAGTTCTACTGGGCTCTATAGGGTCGCTATGAGTCAGAATCAGCTCGGTGGCAGTGAGGTTTTTTTTGTTTGTTTTAATTCCATGAGGGAAGGACAATGACCATTTTGTTTTAATACTGTATCCCCTTGAGTATAGTAAAGTGTCCAACACATAGTAGACAACCAAAAACACTTGTTAATTGAATGAATGATGAATTAGTTAATTAAGCTTGACAACAACTCTTATTTAGTAGGTAATATTATTTGTGCTTTACAGTTGAGGAAACTGAAGTGGAGGAAATATAAAGTAACTTGCCCAAGCTCTGTGTTTACCACAATCTGACATTATTTTGCATAGAATTACATTTTACATGTAAGATTTCCACAATAGAAAAAAAGGTCCCTGAGGGAAAGGATCATGTCTTTTGTGTTTCCCATTGTATGTCTAGCTTCCTGCATAGACTCTGGCACATGGTAGGCACACAAAAATTATGTATCTGTTTGGCTTCCTAGTAACCCAGGTATTAGAAGCCTGAGCTTGGACATTCAAAAAGTTCTGCTCCTGGGTCACTTTCTGGTCTATTCCTTACACTTCATTCCAATGCTTCTGCTAAATCCAGGCCTTGTTTTTGGATTTCTGCTGGTTTTCTGCTGACCTCTCCTCTAAGGCCCTTTAACAAGCCTTGGAAACCAGTACATACTTCCCACTGCTTTCACCCATGATTTCCCTTGGTTCCACAACTGAGCAGTCTACTCTTTTGGTTCCCAACCCCCCAGGGATGCAGTGGTAGTTGAGTAGATCAGCAGACAGAGTTGGTTCTGGGTTTGGCTCTGTTAAAAATTGTATCTCTATGACCTTTGGCTATTCTGTCGGCCTCAATTTCCTCATCTCCAACAAATGAGGCTGGTATTGGATGATCTCAAAGATTTATTTCGGCTTTTAGGCTGTATGATTTTAGCTCTATCCTATAGTGGCCTTCAGCACAGTGGTTAAAAAGTTCAGCTGCTAACCTAAAGGTCTGCAGAAGAACACCAAAGACACAAGGAAGGTATTAGCCCAAGAGACAGAAAGGGCCACATAAACCAGAGACTTCATCAACCTGAGACCAGAAGAACTAGATGGTGCCCGGCTGCCACCAATGACTGCCCTGACAGGGAACACAACAGAGAGTCCCTGATGGAGCAGGAGAAAGGTGGGGTGCAGAACTCAAATTCTAGTAAAAAGACCAGACTTAATGGTCTGACTGAGACTGGAGGAACCCTGGAAAGCATGGCCCCTGGATTCTCTATCAACCCAGAATTAAAACTATTTCCAAGGCCAACTGTTCAGATAAAGATTGGACTGAACTGTGGGACATAAAATGTTACTCGTGAAGAGTGTGCTTCTTAGCTCAAGTAGATACATGAGACTAAACAGGCAGCTTCTGTCCAGAGGTGAGATGAGAAGGCAGAGAGGGTTAGGAGCTGATTGAATGGACATGGGAAATATGGGGTAGAAAGGAGGAGTGTGCTGTCACAGTACAGGGAGAGCAATTAGGGTCACATAACAATGAACGTATAAATAAATTGAAATGTAAACTTTTCACTTAAACTACAACAATAAACAAAAAATAAAAAAGTAAAGGTCTGCAGTTCAAACCCACTAGCCACTCAGAAAGATGTGGCAGTCTGCTTCTGTAAAGATTTACAGCCTTGGAGACCCTATGAAGCAGTTCTACTCAGTCCTATAGAGTCACTATGAGTAGGAATCGACTTGATAGCAGTGGGTTTATAGTGGCCCTCAACTGACCTTACAACTAAGATGGTAAATTTTGGGGAAGAATCACTGGGCTCTGGTGGGGGGAGCGAAGTCAGCGTTGGAAAAGCCTGTGAATCAGGAAAGGCAGTTCTGGCCTCTCGCAACAAGGATTACACACTTGATGTTCGGCCTTGGCGCAACGGATTGGACGCCCGAACCTAGTCAGGTTACCCCGCGCCGGCAGGGGGCGTTATAGGCCTCTCCCCGGAAGGAGCGTCCGGAGCCCGGCGCCGGGCTCATCCATCTTCCGGAGGCGGAGCGCCGGCCCCGCAGCCGCTGGTTGTGCGAACGCTGCCGTTGCTGGCAGTGAGGAAGCAGCTAGGACTGAGGGCTTTCCGCGCCGGGGTGGAGCGCCATGGACGAAGCTGGCGGCTGTGCGAGCGGTGGAGGCTTCCGCCCGGGCGTAAACAGCCTCGATGAGCCGCCTAACAGCCGCATCTTCCTGGTGATCAGCAAGTACACGCCTGAGTCAGTGCTGAGGGAGCGATTCTCGCCCTTCGGCGAGATCCAGGACATCTGGGTGGTGCGGGACAAACACACCAAGGAGTCCAAGGGCATCGCCTTCGTCAAGTTTGCCCGCAGCTCGCAGGCCTGCAGAGCCATGGAGGAGATGCACGGCCAGTGCCTCAGCCCCAACGACACCAAGCCCATCAAGGTGCGGGTGCCCGCAGGGGAAGGGTCCTCGGGCCTCCACTCCCCCGAGGTTGTGTCGGGGTGGGGTGGGGGAGGTTGTAAGAACGTCGGTCTGCTCTCCGGCAGCACACCAGCAGCACTTGGCATCCCCTGGGTAATGGGGAATAGCTCTGGGGGGAGGTCTCTCAGGACCTCCCCCCACCCCGAGGCCGTGCGGTGGTGCGGGCATTGCGGGGGTGAGGGCGGATGCGGATGCGGAGAGAACGTCAGCCCCTGAAACGGACTTGGGCCGCAGAGCTGCAGAGGCTGGGCCTCCCCGCACGCCTGCTCGTCTCTAATCAGGAACTCTAGTCCACCGCCCAGCTCTAACCCTGGCCTTATTTGAATACTTTTCTCATCGTCCTCCCATAGATGTCCCCATTTATGCCCCGTTTATCATTTATAAAAACGTGTAACTGCTTTTCGTCAGGTAGGTATGGAGCTTAACAACTTTTGATAACAGTACATAAAGCTGCTTTGGTAAGAGCATTTTTCCAGAACCAGGCAAAAAAAGTATGCATGTAAATAAAATTAGTGCCGGTGATTAAAACTGCTTCATCTTCCCCACATTCTTCTAATAACCCCTATTTGTGAAGGTATTAATAGCATACATTCGGTTCTTCACACTGTTACTGCCACATTGCTTTGAAAACAGACCTAAGTAAACTGCCCTAAGAGCCAAATCATTGTGATGGTAGTGTGCGTTTTGTATTATTAAACGATTCTTTTTATACTTAGTTCACCCTGGTGGTATTTATATTAAGTTTCCACACTTAATTCTCTAAAATAAAGATAATGCCCCATGGCAAGGCTGTTTTAAGGGTTATTTGAGATAATCTATGCTTTTAGCGTAATTCCTGGTGCAAGGTAAGCTGTGAATATATTCTTGTTGGTCAGTAGTAACCAAGATCTCATTCCTTACTTGCTGTGAACTCTAATCAAGACCCAATAGTGAGACCCTGGTAATTGCTTAAATTGCTCCCTTCACCTGTCTTGTAGAAATAATTGGCTGTATATGTAATTCTGTTGTCAGAGCTTTCCACAAAAACTTCCCCCCCAACATTTTTTTTTCTATTTAACACAGAGAGTTGAGAAGAGTATTAATATGGACTTATAAATGAAGGACTCAGATATTTCAGTCTCTGGAGGTCTCCCTTATACTTCATCCACAAAAGAGAAGAAGCCTGGGAATATACCAACAATACAATAGATAACTCCCTTCTCCCTCCTACTCACCTCTCTGAAGTAAGTCAGAACAGGGCATCAACAAAATTAATTTTAAGGCCACAGTATATGCTAGATCAGAGGTTGACAAACATTTCCTTTTAAGGGCCAGATCGTAAATGCTTTAGACTTTGTAGGCCACATACAACCTCTGTCGCATATTCTTTATTTTTAACAACGTTTTAAAATGTAAAAACAATTCTTAGATCATTGATTACACGAAAGCAGGGAGCTGTAGTTTGCTGCCCTGCACTGGGTTGCTAGTTTTCATCTCTTTGCAATAATGACTGCCATAGCTTAGTGGGGAGGATTTTTAAACTTGGGAGTATTAAGGAACACAGAGCCCATGTGGGCAACTCAAAAGATGCCCCTTCCCTTGATTAAATTTTCACATGACAAAGACCCAACACTAAAATGTACCCTTCCTTTCAGCAGCAAAGAAAGTGCTTGTTCCCAAAGAGAACTAAAATTTACATTCTGTTTTCGTTTTTTACATTTTTGTCCACTTAGTTTCAGCCGGAGAGTTGTTTCACTACATTACCTAGCTAGGTAGTCTGGGTTCTTCAGCAGCAGCAGCTTGGGCTGTCTTCCATCAAAACCAAGGTAGTGTTTCAATATCTCCAGTTAAATTACCATATGCACACCTCTGTGTTACCTCTCCCACCCCTACTTACCACAAGCTCCAAAAAATGTATGGATCTTAACATTGTAAAGTGAAGAAAGAATAATTCACAGCAAACTCCTGTACCTCATGAGAAAAAAGGAGAGGCAGCAAGTAAGAATTAATTTGCTTCTTGTTGATAGAAGTCACAAGAATGATTACTTGGAGTTGGGAGGTAGAGGTGACTGGGAATGACTGGAGGGAGCCTTCTGGGGTGATGGGAATGCTCCATATCTTGATATCGATGGTGGTCACTCTGATGTTTACTTATTTAAAAGCACCTCAAACTGTACACTTAAGATTTGTGTACTTCATGTACCTCACTGATTTTAATTGTGAAAATATACACACCAAAATATTTGCCAACTCACTGATTTTTAAAAATAAATAGAAAAAAATTTGCACCTGAGCTTAGACCAAAGTGAACTGGGCCAGAAAACACCTACTACAACATGGAAGGAGAGAGAGCACGGAGAAACTGGCCAGGCCTGCTGCTACTCCTTACCACTTATGCACAGTGAAAATAGCAAGATGCCTGGGTTGGACAACCTATCAGACAATCTAACACACAAAGACTCTGCGCTTTCAGTGTCCTGGAATCTCAATCTAACCAATCTGAATAGAAACTTCTCATAGGGGATGGCAGGAGCTGAGGGGCGCAAGCAAGAGTGGAAATAAGAAAACAAGTCGTTATTTCCATTAATAGACTCTCACTGACAAGAGTTAGTTATAAATAGCTTGAAAATTAGAGTACTAAAAAATAAATGACCAGTGGGGATCCACTGGAGGGCTGGGTGAGAACGCAGGAAACCAATATCATGGCAAAAAATGGCAGCAGCAAATAGAAATTAAAATTAAGTATGAAACTCAACTTCCTCATTTTCTCCTGAAAGGAAATAAGAGAGTTCAGATGTCTTGGGCAGAAAGGCCAATCCAAGTATTGATTTTACTTCTATGCAGTAGGTAATTTACAAACCTCAGCTAGCTGAGTAGCAGAACGTGAGATTTACAGCAGATGTTTATGCACCAGTAAAAAACAAGATGCTGTCTCTAAAGTTCAGAGTTAAGGAACTGTCCCCCAATTAAATATTTTTTATACATATTTTATATATTATAGATTTTGATTACACATAACATATAGGATCTCAGATTAGTAATTGTAGATTCTATCAATTGCTGTCAAATAGCACTGTTGACTTAATAAAGGTTAGCTTTTAAAATAAGATTTCCTGACTATTGCTAAGCAAAAATGCAAAAGTAGAAATACATTTGGAGAAATGACAATACAACGAAGAGATTGATTGGTATCTCACATAAAAAGGCATTGCAGTACTTTTTGGAAAAAAATTTTTGATAAGACACATGAATCACATATAATCATGAAGTAAGTATGCTTAAGGAATAGGAAAACATTTGACTGATTTTTTTTTCGCATTATTTTTTGTTTTTTGTTCTTTAGGTCTTCATTGCTCAGTCCAGATCATCTGGAAGTCACCGAGATGTTGAAGATGAAGAACTTACAAGAATCTTTGTTATGATACCAAAGTCCTACACAGAAGAAGATCTACGGGAAAAATTTAAGGTATTTATGTCTTCAAATCAGCCAGTATCTGTGATATGTTGTATGGTTACTAAAATCTGAAGTAAGTGTTTTTTGAGTTAGATCATTAAATTGGTGGTGGAGAATTAACTAGCTGTTTTTAGATCTTTGAATATTAAACCTAGAACTCTTTAAAGAATATGTGAAACTGGAAAATATTAACTACAGCTCTGAACCTATAGCAAGATCATAGTAAATGAAATTTAAAGATGATTTAAAATTTCTTTTTAGCTATTGATTTTTATATGTGGTGATATACTCTCACAAAAATTATTAAAAGACAACCTTAAAATTGTTTTGAGTTGTACTTTTTGGTCCTTTTTCTACTAGTTCTCCCAGTACTGTGAATGAACTAGAAAGATAAGAAACAGGTAATAAAAAGTAATTTTCAAACTTTCTTTCTGCAACTCCAACTGAGAATCGAATACTACAGAAGTAATAAATACTTGAATTGGTGAGGGTCTTGTTTATATGTTCACCACAATAAAAAAAATAATAACAAATACCAAAAATACATATTCCATACTTCTTCCAACAGTAAGAAAAAAGTTTTTGTACCTTCTATTTTGTAAATTTTTATCTTTTTCTGAATAAGCAAGTAAGACCATATTTATCTAGATAGGAATTTAAGTTGCTGATTGCTTAGAGAATTTTATAAAATGATTAAATGATAAATTCCAAAAATTTATATCCCTTATTTCTTCAAACGTAAAAAGTAAACATTTACCCTGTATTTCTCTTATTAACTTCCTGAGCGAATCAGTGTCTTTCGGAAATATTCTTTAAGAGGCTCCTTTTAGGAGGCAGACAAATAATTACAGCTAATGTTGAGTGTTTACTGTGTCCCATGCCCTGTATAAGCATTTAACGTCTTTTCGCTTATTTAATCCTTACAATCACCCTGTGAGATAGATATTGCTATTAGCCTCATTTAACAAATAAATAGGAGACAGACACAGAAAGGATAAGTAAGCAGCCAGTTAATAAGTGGCGGAGCCAGGATTTGAATCTAGAAAGTCTTATTTCAGAACTTCCCTTCTTAACTGCTATTGAACAGATCTTTGGAGCTATCCAGACCAAATTCTTGGTCTGCCTCCATGACCTTCCAAACCTCACTGCCATTGAGTCAATTCTGACTCATAGCAACCCTATAGGACAGAGTAGAACTGCCCCATAGCGTTTCCAAGGAGTGGCTGGTGGATTTGAACTGCGGACCATTTGGTTATCAGCTGAGCTCTTAACCACTGTGCCACCAGGGCTCCTCCGTGACTTTAGTCAGGTTTTAATTTCTCTAAGGCCCACCTTCCTCCTCTGTGAAATAAGCAGTATAATATACATACACTTGAAGTAGTGTTGTAACATTAAGATACTATCTGTATGTAAAGTGGACACCTGGTGGCACAGTGGTTTAAAGAGCTCAGGCTGCTAACTAAGAGGTAGGCAGTTTGCATCCACTGGCCGCTCCTTGGAAACCATATGGGGCAGTTCTACTCTGTCCTATAGGGTCGCTATGAGTCGGAATCGACTCGACAGCAACGCGTTTGGTTTTATATGTAAAGCAGGTGCTCAGTAAATAAAAATTATCATTTTATTGGTTAGCCCATTATTAAGTTATATCATTATTATGGTTTTATTTTAGTGCCTCATTAGTTTGTAACATTTTGATGTCATCATTAAAAGTGACTCTGAATTGTAATTCTGCTTTCTTTGCAAGCAAGAGGCACAACTAAGCACAAATTTTAAGTTATTTCTGAAAGAATCTCTTCAGTTATTAATTTTGACTCCCCTAAAATCATTTCTTTTAACTCTCATAGGTATATGGAGATATCGAGTATTGCAGCATTATTAAGAATAAAGTCACTGGAGAAAGTAAAGGTTTGGGCTATGTGCGATACTTAAAACCATCACAAGCTGCCCAAGCAATAGAAAACTGTGATCGAAGTAAGGATGTGTTTGGCTAACATTGTTAAAGCCTTTTTTAAAAATTATGATTACTCTAAATAACTGAGTTTAATATTGGTTTTTACTAATAACTATCTGCTAATTTAATCTTAGTGGGGGGTTAAATATGTATAGCCCTAGGATGGAAGTTATTTTGGGATTATGATCTGTTAAAGCATTAATTGAGGCACTATCTTGAGGAGAATTTGAGCAACTTTATTAACTTAGATCATAAGTAAAAATACTGTTATCATACTTTGGTTATTGCTTTATAAGTTTATTTTTTAAAGTATTTTAGAAATTATGAACATTATAGAAAAGATTGATTTACTCCTTCAATTTTATATTTATTCTTTACATTAAAAAATACAAGTTTTTTTGTAATGTTTGTTCATATTTAGCCTAAACCCTATTAATGTACTTAATTAAGTATATTAATAAACATATAGGTAATGTATAGGATTTATAAGGTTTGCTAACATAGGTAATTAAATATAGACTGAGTTAATTTCAAGCTAGCATGACATTAATTGAATCTTCTGCTTTCCTAGTATACATAATGAGAAATAAAATTTTTAAGAAGCCAAGCAGAATATTCTTTATTGTCACGTTTCTGATTATATTGACTTTTACAAATGAGATGTGGAATAATTTAATCAGTAGAATTCTTAGATGCCCTTAAGATACATACCAAAATTTTCTCCTAGATCCTTCTAATTTAATTTTATTCAGCCAGCATTTATTGAGTACTTATGGTGTACCTGTGAATATGCTAAGTAGGTGGATACAAATGGAATATATGGAAGTTCTGGCCTTTAAGGAATTTAAAGCTATATTGAGTAGTGTCTTAGGTATCTTGTGCTGCTATAACAGAAATACCACAAGTGGATGGCTTCAGCAAACAGAAGTTTATTCTCTCACAGTCTAGTAGGCTAGAAGTCCAAATTCAGGGCATCAGCTCCAGGGGAAGGCTTTCTCTCTCTGTCAGCTCTGGAGGAAGGTCCTTGTCATCAATCTTCCCCTGGACTAGGAGCTTCTCAATGCAGGTCCTGCCGTGCAAAGGACATACTCTGCTCATCGCACTACTTTCTTGGTGGTATTAGGTCCCCCAAGTCTCTCTGCTCTCTTTTCTCTTTTATATCTCAAAAGAGATTGACTTAAAACACAACCTAATCTTGTAGATTGAATCCTGCCTCATTAACATAACTGCCTCTAATCCCACCTCATTAACATCATAGAGGTAGGTTTTACAACACATAGGAAAATCACATAAGATGAGAAAGTGGTAAACAGTCACATAATACTGTGAATCATGGCCTAGCCAAGTTGACACACATTTTGGGGGGACATAATTCAATCCATAACAGGTAGGCAAGACCTAATAGGCAAAAAATAGTTAAGGAATGATACATTTTTTTTTTTAAAAGCCCTTTGAAAGCAGGGAATATGTCTTATTTGTCTTTTTGTCCCCTCAATTACCTAGCAGAGCAATTGGCCCTCAACAGAGATTTATTGAGGTCTTTATCAAAGATCCTGCCATTTATAGTAGACTCAATAAAAATTTACCACTTGAAAAAAGTGTTCAAAATGATGTGGTATTAGTTTATCAGTGATCAAAAACTAGCAAGCTGGGTGAGCACAGAAACACATCCAGAAGGAAGTTGGACTTGATTCTGGTGTAGAGTAGGAAAACAGAAGGTGAAAACAGTATTAACAAAGGCACAGAACCAGGAGTAAACACGTCTTGTGCTTAGTACTATAAAGGCAACAGTCTGAGTAAAGCATAATATTCCTGTTAAGAATGAAACAAAGTTAATTGGGTATGCTGGAACCACATATGGAAGATTATGAAGAGTTTGAGCTTAGTCCACGTTAGGAATCCTTTCTAGATTGTTAAAAGAAAAATAATAAAAGCTGTTTTAGAATAGTTGATCTGGCCACATTGTCAACGATGGATTTCCGTAATCCAGAATCCAAACTGGTTGGTTTTATCCTTTTTGGAGCCACTCAGTAATATGATGAAAGCTGTGAACTGTCTCCCCTTGAAAAATGCCCATGTGCCACTCAGCTTAAGGGAGATGGAGAAATTTGGACACAAATAATGGTGATCGTTGCACAGCGTGATGTACACAATGTCGATGAATTGTACACTTAAAGAATATTGAAATGGCAAATGTATTTTTACATACACATTTACCACAGTAAATAAATTTTTTTTTTAATGTTTAATGCACGTGTGTACATATATGCATAAGCATTTTGTTTGAAGTTTCAGAAATTTCATGGAACCTTCCCACCCTCTGAAGCTCATCCTTGGGCCCCTGATTTAGAACCCTGGATCCAGAGGCAAGGAGACCTGTTGTAATTCATTGAAGAGAATCTAAATTTTAAAAAGACAGAGTAATTAAAGTGGAAGATAGCATATTCGAAAGGAAGAATCTTGATGACAGGTTGAATGTGAAGAAACTCTGTAGGATTTTAATGCTGAGGAGCCTGGGACAATGAATGATAGAATCATCTGTACTAGAGAGAGGTTTGAAGGGATAGCATTGAATTGCTGGTGTTTTGTGTCTGCACTGACCCATAATTTGGGATTCTTGTGTTTCTCATTTACACTTTGTCATCTTCCAGAAGGCAGAGAACTAGGTCTGGTGGAGATGGACATTCCATTGTTTATAATTTCTACAGTTATAATGCTAAGTCAAGCACTAACAATCAAATGTATTTGCAGGTTTGTTAAATTTGGTATGAAGCTTGAAATTCATGGATTCTTTCTCTACCTCTCCCTCCAGGTTTTAAGGCAATATTGGCTGAACCTAAAAATAAAGCATCTGAATCCTCTGAACAAGATCATTATAGTAGTATGAGGCAGGAGACTTTGGGACATGAACCTAGAGTAAATATGTTTCCATTTGGTAAGTGGGCTGCTATTATTTTAATAGTTTAAATAATACATGCAATCTGATACAAGTTTTTTTTTTTAAATATTCTTTCATCATGTAGTGAATAAAAATTTCAAAATGTAGTTTTTCTTAGGAAGTTGGTCATCACTCTTAATGTCCATAATATTCAACACTTACTTCATTGAACTTATTTCCTATTATAGTCTTTCTGTGTTTAATTATATATTATGTAAGTATTAAATTATGTCACTGCCACTTTTTGGGGTGAGCTTCTGCCTCTGTGCAGCTGACCAGAAAATACAAAAGACATACGAACTCTCCCTTAGTGTGAGTTCTAAAATTTTGTCCCAAAACCATTGCTTTAAAATTAGGGCTAGAGAAGAGAGAAGAATGACAAAAATAAAAGTTAAAAAACTAGAAAAAGGGAAATGAGTAATGAAACTTATGGAACTTAAAATGTTTTGACAGACTTTCATCTTGTCATATTTTACGGTTTTGTGTTCTAAACTAATTCCTGTGAAGTTAGGCTGTGCATTTCTGCATATATTTCAGTGCTGAAGGAAATGGCGGAGTGGAGAGAGTTATCTGTTTTCTTGTTATTGATCCCTTTTGATAGTGCTGCTTACCAAGAGCGTATATAAAATATAGTGTCTTTGCTCAATGTGGCAGACTTAATAAATTTAGTTTTACTTTCTAGTACCTAAAATGTTAAATGAATTCTTGACTGTGTATAAATTTAAAGATTTACTTTTTTTATATTGGAGAACAACAACCTGAATTCGCAAGTTTTGAAAAGAATGACAACAGAGGCCAGGAAGCTATCTCTAAACGCTTGTCGGTTGTATCAAGAGTTCCTTTCACTGAGGAGCAGCTTTTCAGCATTTTTGATATAGTACCAGGATTGGAATATTGTGAAGTTCAACGAGATCCTTATTCAAATTATGGTAAAATGATGTCTATAATTTTTTAAATTAAATTGTGTTTTGTTAAAATGACTTTTCTCCAGTGACACTTTATGTCATAAACTGTGACAAGAATTATATGTTTCCTTTTTCTCCATTTTAGATTTTCAGTCACAGTGATACCTTCACAGCCAAACCCCTGGGAATACATCTCCTTTATACAAAGTCATTTACTTTAAAATTTTTTTTTTTTTAACTCCCACAATGTAGAGCATACTTTATTTCCAGTCATGCAACAAAAATACCTCAGACTATGGTCTCTGCTTTTCTGTACTCTGTTGATTAATGCTAGGCAAAGTTATAAAGCCCTTAAAGTTTCCGTTTCATCCCTAAGTCTCTTTTTGCTAAACTTCATACCCCTAAATGAAACTCCTTACCTTCATTTAAAGCTTCCTGATGCCCTACTTCTGCTCTCTAATTCTTCCTACTCAGTAGAAACAAGGCTTTATATCAGCCGTTAGAACTTGTTAAACTAGTTTATTGATTAAACCCGTTATCTAGTGTTACCTTAACCCGCCCTTGTGTTTTAAGCATTTTGATTTTGAATTTCAAAGTAGATTCCAAAGAATAAAAAGTTAAGAAATACTGATTTATAGGTATATCTGTGCCATATAAGAAAAGCCAGTATCCTAAAATTAAATTCGTCTGACAGAACTTATGTAAATTATTCCATTTTCCCTAAACTATCATGTTCATATTTTTACCAAAAGCTGACTTATATTTCAGTTTCTAAGAACACAGCTGTTGCACACAGGTATAACAGAACTTTCTTTTCTGGCACATTTGATTCTATATTTACTAGTTGTGTGATCATGGGCAAGTCATCTAAACCATCTGTGCCTCATCTGTAAAATGAGGATGATAATGAGCACCTACCTCTTCATGATGTTGTGAGGATTAATTAAATAAGTTAATATCTGTAAAGTCCTTATACCAATGCCTGGCACACAGACCTGTGTATGTGTGTGAGTACCAATAGTGTAGTAATTGTTTTAACGTTGTTATTATGTTTCTTTAATTCACCAATTTTCTTTAGATATTTTTTAAGTTAAACTATGGTGAGTACTGTGGAAGTTAAGTACCCGAGAACGTAACTTAGCTGATTGATTGGGAAGGGATGATAGAACAGCCCAGCCTACCTTGACTTTAGAATGAAAAGCCTTCTAGAAAATAAAGTCTACACGGTATGGTTCCAAATCTGTTCCTCCAAGTTTGATGTCTGAGGAGGGTATGCATTTCACACGGGGCAATGGTTCAGGGGCTGTAAAGCTATGCAGAGACGGGGATGGTCAGTCCACCTTCCAGGAAAGTCATGGAATGTATCTGTTACTCCTTCCCTCCTCTCACTTTACAAATCAGAGAAATGAGACTCAGAGAGGTAAATTAACTTGCTCGAGAACATAAAACTAGTTTATAGTGGAGCCAGGACCAGAACTAAGATCTCTGTTCACAATACTGTGCTCTTTCCATCATAGGTGGGGAAATATGCCACAATGACCCAGACATTACTAACACTACTCCCACTGCTAATGTTGCGTATAGAACAGTGTTAGGTAGGGCATATAGAGCAGTGTTAGGGTAGCTGCAAACTATGCAGTTGTGAAAATTGCCTGGAAACGCATTTATAAAAGTGACCCGTTGATGATTTACTAGTCCATAAAGGTATGTTGTCATCCTGTGTATCTTTGCTTCCAAGGTTCCCAGAAAGGCACTGTAGTAGTCTTCCCATTGTTTATCCTAGTCCTTGCCTCAAGTTTTCCTATTGGCTAAAGTATTTTTGCTGGAATTTCACCAATTAGAGGTCTGTTTGGTTTACAATACCGTTTTAAAATGCAGATATCCTGGATAGTACATTGAAGTGTTCTGGATCACTCATGCTTTAGTGTGGTTTAATCAGATTGCTTTTTCCTTACAGCCAATGTGAAAGCATCATTGAATAAATAAAAGTAATGGATACTTTTGACGTCATTGAATAAGTAAAGAGTAATGGATACTTTTGACATTTAGGGAAGTTGAGCATGAATGGCAAACCTAGGTGATGGTGTAAGTGTGGATGCTGCAGTGATCAGATAAAGAGAGAATATCCTAACGGGGTGGGAAGGAAGGGAGGGATCATCAGGAAGCAGGAAAAGAGAAAATAAAGGAGATTATAAAGAAAGTATGCAACTGATCATTTTTGTTCATTTTCAGCTTATCACCAAGGTATTGCCTGTATCGTTTCTCATTTTCCCAGCAGCCATTAAAGAAAAGAAAAGCTCTATAGGAAAACAGATTTAAAAGGAAGGGAAGCCCCATTGTCCTTCCTGCCCTGTTACGATCTTACGTGCCCCATAACCTCAACGAAAGATAGAAGATAATGGGGATTTGAACTAGGTTTTCTAGCCTGCCCACATTCTAGCTTCATGAAGCTTATTCCACAAAGTGTAAAATGGTAAAACTCCGCAAAGCTCTGAGACCAATGGAAGAAACCAAAAGGAAAGGAAACTTAAAATTTATTGAGCCACTTGCTTTCTTTGTTTGAATCCTGGCTGTCTGACTTACTAGTGTGACTTTGACAATTTCCTAACCTTACCAAGCCTCAATTTCTTCTCTATGTAATGGAGACAAGAAAATCTACTTTATGGATTGTGAAAATTAAATTAGATAATATACATGTGAAAGGCCTAGTACATTTACTGCTGGCACATAGTATGCACTCTACAAATATTAGTTGAATCTGCAGCTACTTGGTGCCACTTTAGAAGCTTCTCTTTGCTTTTTTACTGTTTCATTTGCTGCACTGCCTCCAGAATAAAGCTGATTGGCAATAGCAGTCCAGGGATAACAGTGCATGACAAACAGAAGGTGTATGTAAAAGCAGTATGATTCCATGCGGAGCCCTGGTGGCACAGTGGTTAAGAGCTCGGCTGCTAACCAAAAGGTTGGCAGTTCGAATCCACCAGCTGTTCCTTGGAAACCCTATTGAGGCAGTTCTGCTCTGTCCTATAGGGTTGCTATGAGTTGGAATTGACAACAGTGTTTTTTTGTTTTTTGTTTTATGGTTCCATGCAGTTTGAGGGAGAATTGTTTGGAAAGACTTGGTTCTGCTGTCTTCTCTGCTCAGCTCTCCCTCTTCACGTAGCTTAACCTGTTACCTGCTGCATTTTTTTTTTTTTTTTTAATTTTTCCCTCTTTGGTTTTTGTAAATCTGTGTTCTACCATTCAAATTCTGGGTTTCCTAATTTCTCAAATAGTACCATTTACTCCCAAACCCTCTAAAATTTAAATAACTACCAAGGCAAAATTGTCAATTTTTAAAATATACTTTGTTACATTTAGATATGGTTACTCCCAAAATAGCTCACTGTTATACTAACACAGGTTGGTGAGCACCTGCTGTTGTTGTTTGTTGTCATGTTATTGTTCTTGGTGATTCTGGCAGGTGGTAGAGGAAGATCTTTTTGTCTTACCTTTTTTCCACATCACTGGAACAGGTTGGAATGCAATGAACAGTAGAGCATAATGACAGTTTGTGGATACCTATTTGAACTTTTAAAATGATAAGATTTAAAGTCTCTTACTGTTCTCCAGCACCACTTACAGATCCCAGAGTGACAGAGAATTTCACTGTGACCAGATGAAGGACAAATCCCTTGGGAAAATACAGATTATTGACTAATTACAGTTCCTTCTATCTAGAATGTCCAAACCCTCAACTCTTACCCATCTTTCAAGGTCTGATTTAAATGTCATCTCATTGAAGTGTCCTCTGATCTCCAAGTCACGTGTACTCTCTTTCTGCTCTCAGGGTCCTTAGCACTTTGTACTTTCACATGTACTTAACCGCATTCTTTCTACTTTAAGATTGTGTACATGCCTTACCTCCCTTTTGGATCATAAACTGTCTGAGGCCCAGAGTAGAGGTTCTAAATTTTCCTCATCCTAGCACGTTATAATTCTGTTTGACAGCTTAGATCACTGCTTGCCTGTGATATTAGAGTATTTCTATATTGTTTCAATTTTGAGATACTTTGTGGCACAAGCTAAAAGGCACTCAAACTGCTTTTTTTTTTTTTTTTTTTTTTCTACTTTACCTTAGGTCATGGAGTGGTTCAGTATTTTAATGTAGCGTCAGCTATTTATGCAAAATACAAGTTACATGGATTTCAGTACCCTCCTGGAAATCGAATAGGTGTTTCCTTCATTGATGATGGGAGTAATGCAGCAGAGTAAGTACCATTCCAGGAGTGTTTAAAGCCAAGCTTTGAATGTACATGATTATCACATGAAGAATAAAAATAGAAAACAATTGACTTCTAAGGTAAGGGAGTAACACAAAATGAGTTACTGTTAAGAAACTGAATATTTATAGTTTTCTGTAAATTATCAGTCATTATCTCCAGTCTCCTTAGAAAAATGGCAACACAGATGGTAGCAGCACAGCTTGCATCAATGGTGTGGAATAACCCAAGTCAGCAGCAATTTCTGGTAAGTAGCTAAGAATTTAACTTTCACAATACATCAGTAACGTATAAAGTAAATGGCCTTTGTTGGTTGTCTATGTAAGAAAATTTTCAGCACTATAACAAAAGACCACATCGTACCGTGGTATAGTTGCATGTGTATATACACCTACTCCTCACTTGTCATCTATCTAATTATCTGACATTTCACATTTACAACAATAGTAAAAAATCTATTTGACTGTTTTGTGCATCAACGATGTATGTCTGGCAGTAATGAATGCCGAGGTGCGAGGTGAGAGTAACACTAGCTATGATGGTTAAGGTTATGTGTTAACTTGGCTGGGCCATGGTTGTCAGTGGTTTGACAGTTATGTAATGATATAATTTGGCAGTTACATAATGATGTAGTCATCCTCTATTTTGTAATCTGATGGGCTTAGCCTCCATTTTCACATAATGCTGATTTTCACATAAGAACCTAGTCTTTGAAACCTAACCAGGAGTGGGTGTAGTTGCCACGTATAGATAATTGCCATCTGCCTTTATCACTCAGCTGAAATTCCCTAAAGTGCAGTTTTTCTTTTTCTCATTTTGTACCTAACTTTTCAACAGCAATTTGGAGGAAGTTCTGGATCACAGTTGCCTCAAATCCAAACAGATGTTGTACTTCCATCATGCAAAAAAAAAGCCCCTCCGGAAACTCCTGTGAAAGAAAGACTTTTTATTGTGTTTAATCCTCATCCTTTACCCTTAGATGTATTAGAGGATATATTCTGGTAAGATTTCAGTTCCACAAAGATATGCTTTATAGTATGATTTATTTAAACCAGTAATTTAAACACTCTCACAGTCTTGAAACTCCCTATGTTCAGTACCTATCAGGTGGAGATAATCTGTTCTGTGATTTAAAAATCTCTCTATTTGATCACCTTTTTAAATTTATGATCATTTGCTTCTCAACTTTGTCAGTTACATGTCCTAAGTCTCCACATAGAATTTCCTGTTAATTTTGTTTTGAAGACATAACACATGTAGGATTATTTTGATAAGCTCCGTGCATGGAATGGGCAAATGATTTGTCTCTTGATAGAAGATACATCTGCATTAGCCTGTTTGTCCGCTAGAATTTTTTTTCACGTAACTTTGTAGTTGTAACTCAACTGAACACTATTAAGTATCTTCTATTTTGTCCGCACTGTTTGGATGTTGTGGGGGATAGGCTCTGTCCTTGGGATATTTATAATCACATTGAATAAGCAATTACTTGATTGTGGGTAAGAATATATAATAGTTGAAAAAGAGGGGAAAGACTCTTGTTCATTTCTGTGTTTTTGATATAACTCTTTCTGTAACTTTTTTGGTCTTTTTCACTTTTACCTTACAACAATGGTAGTGAGTTAAAAAGATAGGAGCTGCAAAAACAATCAGGAATGTAGTTCAAGTATTTTGATCTTTATTTAATTGATTCATTTAATTTATTTATTGAACTTCCTTGTGCCATGCACTGTGCTGAGTGCTACAGATATGTAAACAAAACGAATATGTAAACAAGATATTACAGTCATTGCCCTCATTAGAGCTTATCTCACGTAGGAGACAGAGAAGTGAACAGGAAATTATAATCTAGTGAGATTGGTGCTATAATAAGGAATGTACCCCATACCCATTGCCATAAAGTCAATTCCAACTCATAGTGACCCTATAGGACAGAGTAGAACTACCCCATACAAGCTACAGGATACTTGGGGGCCCCTTCACTTGAAAACTCTCAGAGCCTTCCTGAAAAAAGCAAGTTGTACGTGGAGACCTGAAGAATAAAAATAATTTAACCAGGGAAGAAAGCAGAGGTGTGGGTGGTTATTCCTGCCAGAGAAAGGAGGCCATTAGAATATGGAATTTGAGAGATTGTAAGAAAAGATGAAGCTGGAGAAGACAAGGACCATGTCAATCAAGAAAGGCCTGCAAGCTATAATAAGGAGTTTGTCCTTACCCTGGAGGCAGTGGGGAGCTGCCGAAGGGATTTTTAGGGAGTAAATTATTATATTTGTATTTTAGGAAGATCACTCATAGAAGACAGTGTGGAGAATGGATTTGAGAGGGACAAACCCAGTGGTCAGGGAAACTAGTCAAGAAGGTATTAGAGTAATATAAGAAAAAAATAATGATGGCTTAAATGAGGAAAGAAGCCTGTGTGAGGATGGAGAGAAATTTACTGAGGAGATGTTTAAGAAGTAAGATTGACATGAATTGGCGGTTGGATGTGGGGAGATGTGAAAAAGGAGTCAAGAATGTACCCCAAGTTTTAGGCTTGTTCAGCTGTATTTATCAGTTTCAGTTGATTTTTTGCTTTGTTTCAGTCGTTTTGGTAACCTGATCGAAGTTTACCTTGTGTCAGGAAAAAATGTGGGGTATGCCAAGTATGCAGATAGAATAAGCGCTAATGATGCCATTACAACTTTACATGGAAAGATCCTGAATGGGGTCAGGCTTAAAGTTATGCTGGCAGATTCCCCAAGAGAAGAATCTAACAAACGGCAAAGAACTTACTGATACTTGAGGTAAGTCCTTTTTCTGAATAAAAAAGCACTGACTAAATAGTCTAGCAAGAGGAGTACGTATGCGCCTTAATTATGAGCTTTCTTCTTAGGGATTTAGTAGTCTGTTAAAAGTACTTTGGCTTCAAACTTTGCTGATAACCTACAGATCAGGGGTTAATTTTACTATATATTCTTTAATTAAACTTTAAAAAATATTTTTGACATTTACTGGGTAGATATTAAATAATGCCCTTCTGTAAAATAAGATTTCAATTAGAAAATGAAATTAAAGTAACTTTTTTGTTTGACAGTGTTTTAGATATAAAGATTGGACTTTTCACTGTGTGCTTGTATCAACTTTAATGTTAAGATATTTCTAAAGATTTTTAATTTGCATAATTTTTGTCTTGAGTTATAAATTGAGGTAATTTATAACAGTCTTTATAAAGAACATTTTGACTTCTCCCTAATAAATTGCCTAATAAGTAATATCAAATAATATATCTTTTTCAGACCTTTTGATCCTAAATGTTGGTATTTTTCTGGACTTATGTTTGTGAGTTTGTGCATTAAAACTATACATTCAGAAAATATTCTCATGTGTATATATACATACATACATATATATATTAAAAAAAAAAACCCTGACAATCAATTTATCAGAAACTCTGCTGTCTTTTCTATATAGTGATAGATAACAACCATATGAATTTCTTTTTCTTTTATTGATTTTCAAAAATCAAAACTTAAATTTGTTTTTTTATGGCAGTCAGTTTGTATTTCTATGGTTTGGGGAAACATTCTTTAAAGTTAGAAATGTTCAGCTCTTTCTACTTTTTATTTTCTAAATGAATTCTGAGTTTCAGGGAAAGCTGAAAGTTTTCCTGCTTCTCTACATACCAGCTTCCCAAGTCCACTACAGGTCAAATGGTAGCAATTGACAAGCACTTTCAATTCAATTTGAAGTGACTGGCTTGAAAGTCTCTCTTCACTCCAGGTTTTCCTTCTGACCATTTTTGTGAGCTGACAAGTATCAGAATAGATTGGCTCAGGCCTTAACTTCTGATGACTCTTCTGCTAGTAAAGCAACTCAGGTGATTATGATTAGTTCCTCCTTCAGAGAAGGCAGTTGGCAGTAAGATGTGCCCGTTGGGTCCGTTATGAAGAATTCTAATTTAAAAATACTTTATTTAATGACAAACATCACTCGCATTACTCCATACATTGTTAGTAATTTAATCCTAGAAATATTAAATCACCAGTGAAGAAGAATTAGCAAGTCTTTCTTACAACAAAGCAGTTTTTAGTGTTTATGAATAAACTGTTAAGAACTAAGTTCTGTTTAGACAAGCTATGCTCTAAAGTAACATACAAGAATATGTTTATTCCTGTCTGTGAATATTCCAATATATAGGTAAAAATTAATTCTTGCTTTTCTTCAAAGAATCTCTGTCCTTAATAAAGGACAATAATACTGACTTTTTAGTATGGAAAAATGTATAAATTACTCTGATTGAGCCTTTACTAATGATTATTTACATAGTAAAAAGAATATTGGACTTAAGATCAGAAGATCTGGGTTGAAATTCCAGCTCTGCCATTGAGCGTGGATGATCTCTTCACCTTTTTGAGACCCAGTTTTTTCATCGGGTTATTGAGAGAAAGTGGATCAACAAAATTGCTTGTAAAATGAAAAATGCTTTGCAAGTTTAAGATAAAACACTTTCATTGGTAGCTTCAGTGAAACCTTTGAAATATCATCTCATCCAAAATAATGCAGTCTAAATGGTCAGAAACTCAAAGTTTTATGATACAAAAACGAGCCTGGTGGTACAGTGGTTAAGCCCTCAACTGCTAACCAAAAGTTGGTGGTTTAAACCCACCAGCGGCTCTGAGGGAGAAATATGTGACAGTCTGCTTCAGTAAAGATTCAAAACCAAACCCCTTGCCGTCAAGTTGATTTCGACTCATAATGACCCCGTAGGACAAAGTAGATCTGCTTCATAGGGTTTCCAGGGAGCAGCTGGTGGATTCAAACTGCCGACCTTTTGATTAGCAGCCCAACTCTTAACCACTGCACCACCAGGGCTCCAGCCTAGAAGACTCAATGGAGCAGTTCTACTCTGTCCTGTTGCTATGAGTCAGAATTGACTCGACGGCACATAGCAACAACAACGATATAAAACTATCTTATAGCCAGCTGGTTCTGTGAGAACTGAAGTCTTTAATACCACTTTTCCCCCTTAAAAGTGATGTACATTCATCCAATTCACTATATTAGAGGAAGTATACATTCTTCAGCATGGCTTGTCATAAAAACACAAATCTGTCACTTTTCCATTATTGAAGTGTTACACATACTCAGGGCAAGAATAGAGTCAGGTCAGATTAGCTCAGAATGGTGATTTGGGTAGACTATAATTAGCAGTACTGTTTTTGAATGTTTTCTAACTGCTGCATGACTTTTTTATTTATTTTTGCTGCAGATACTCTATTTACCATGAACTCCATAACGAGATTCTTCTCCTTCGTTGTACATTAAATAAAGTATCTTATGTTATGGTTCCATAAAATAGTATGAAAGACTTTCACAAATTTTACATTATTTTAACAGCTGAAGTTTTTTAGGAGCACACTTTTTGTTTTCTTCTCTAATTTCAAGAGGACACAAACATAGCTCCTGAAAGCTAGTTCCTTTCGTCTCTGAAGAATAAGCCTAGGATTAAAGTAAGCCACACTTAGGAAATAGGAGAAGAAACTGGTCTAAGAATATAGCTTTGAAAGTAAGTTCTCTTTTAAGGAGATGGATCTGATGTGCAAAATACATTTCTCTTTCAATGTGAGGAAAGTAGAAATTTCAGTATTTCAAAGCATTCTGATTTTGTAATAATTCACAGTGTTTTCCCTCCAGAAATTGAGTACCTGCTTGCATCATCTTTGTAAGTAAGTTTGGTTTTGCTCACCTAGGGGCATTTGTGATTAAGTAAGCAGATAACATCAGTTATATTGAAATAAAGGAACAATTAGGAAATGTTAGGAATACTATATACAATAGCTCTTTCCTTTCAGGTGATGATTTTCATACTTGTGTTGTGTTCTTTCTGCAGAACAGAGACTAAATAATGACATAATCCTCAGCTGACTGACTGAAAATGTGACTGGACGCACTCCTTGTGGACAGTTGACAGCTTTTTTTTTCATATAACCTGATAGTCTGTGCACAACATTGTTTTGTCTGGGGAGCAGGGATTGCTGACATGTATTTTCTAATCCACACATTAATGCTAAAACTAATATAGTAGTTGTTTCATAGAACAATATGTTGTTAATGTGTAGCAGAAATAAAGTTTTCTTTGCTTAACTAAGTCATGCCTTATTTATGTGAAAGACGAGAATGAAAAAATTTAATAGACATTGTTTAGAATTTTATTAAATGACATATTTCATTGATTTTGAGACGCACATTCTTTCACATTTTAATGCCACTGATATTAGAAACATCTTAATTAATTGTGTGTCATAGTGCGATCGACAACCTTTTTCTTAGTAGAATATAAAGGTGCTTCTTTCAATCAGTTGCATCTTAGAGTCAATGAAATATGGTAATTGCTATTCAGTCTACACATGCAGGTTAACTACTTATTCTAAGAAGAAGATCCAAAAGACATATCATTAGAAGTATTTTTATCCTGTATTTTTAGAGTTACACCAAAATTTGTTGGTAATTTTCTAAAGATCTTTCAAGATTATAGAGCAGAGCAATAGTGATAAAAGTGAAAAAATTAAAAGTTATGATGGTAATAAGTTTAAATAAATGATAGAGGCTTTGGGGGTGGACATTTTTCCCTTATAAATACAGAAGTGTAATGACCACTGCAAAAATATAACATGTAAACAGTTTTCAAGACATACTATGATAAGTGTAATAATGTCAAAGTTAAAGATTAAAATTTTCATTAGGAACCTATTCTGCTTATGTTTTGAAAACCTAAGAAAAAATTTTATCAGCTCTTGAGTAAACAATATGTATGAAAAATGGTACATTTAAATCAAGCACTTGGCACCTTAAAAAAAGATATTTATGGTATATAATTGTTAAAACATCACTTAATTATCTCCTTATTATGTCTGTCACATTCTCAGTTCAACTAAAAGTAGGGGAAGATTAAATTCACTGAACATAGTAGAGTATTTCATGCTGCAACATCCCTCCACTGAAAAATTTAAATCCTTTTTTTGAATCAGTAATTTTAGTAAATTTCAGTAAGAAAATCCACTCTTATCTTCCCAGGTAGGACTTACTGAATAATAATTGAACCAAGGATCTTTCTGTGGGTGAAAGGACATATTTAAAAATGAAAGCAAATTCTCTTTAAAAATCAAAAACCTGAATCAGGAGAAATGAGGATTAATTAGCAACAGATAGATTTGTTCAGCCCAAACTCATTTACTGCACACCTAGTTCAGTTTTCACAGATTGGAGTTTAATTGGACCTTAAAAGTTATCTGCCTCTGTCGCCCAAGTAATGCTTGAATTCCCTCAAAAATATTCTTGCCAGGTCATTAAACAGAGCAAAAGTAATAGTTAATAGGCAGGGAGCACTCTACTTTCTACTTGAGTCCGTTGCAGCTTTGGTTAATCCTCATAATTGAGATAAAATTTGATTCTGTTCAATTTTCACCCATTAGTCTTCTAAGTTTTCCATTGGGCCATATAGAAGCTGAATCTCTCAAATGGTAGCTATTATATAACCTCCTGCGCTCTATACATTTTCTGTTCAAATTATATAATCCCAGTTTCTCCAGCATTTCCTGCATTTAAGGTTGGCCAGCCATTGTCAGCAAACAGCTGTGATTTTGCTAAGGTTCCTCGTACAGGTTTCTATCCTCGAGTCCTTCATGTAAGTTCTAAATAGACTTGTATAATACCTCTCTGCCTATAAAGCACTTCTTTAATTTTTCAGTGCAATCTTCTGTTTTATGTTCTTGATCCCAGTTACATGTCTCAATGAACAGTGCTTTACTGTGCATTTAATTTTAATCTCAACCATTTAGACTTAGATGCTTTTCTGTCTCTTGAAGTTGATCCCTAAAACTTTTTAAGAGCCAGAATGTCACATTTTTCTTAAAAATGAAGAAAGTCTAGAACCTGAGAAAAAACATCAAACTACTGCTTCTGTCTTCACCTAAACATTTACTTCTCAAATGCAGTATAAGAACGTAATATATGGATATTTAGATGTTCTACGTATGTCAGTTATTAAAACTGCTGACTTGGTGAGTTTTTATTAGATATAAGTTGCTTGGAGACCTGGTGGCATAGTGGTTAAGAGTTCAGCTGCTAACCAAAATGTTGGCAGTTCAAATCCCCCAGCCACTCCTTGGAAACCCTATGGGACAGTTCTACTCTGTCCTATAGGGTCGCTATGAGTCGGAACCAAATAGATGGCAGTTAACAAGAATAATAGTTGCTTAATTAAAAAAAAAAAAGAATGACAAACAGTACTGGTCAGTAAACTCTCAAGTATATGATTCAGATAATATGTAACATTTAAAATAAAACCTGATCAAAACTTTCTTGTAAATTCATTGATTCGGGTTTTTTATTGGTATATTACAGGTGTCAAAAACAGTTGTAAAATTTGCTGCTTCTAAAGCATCATCTCCCAATCTGCATTACTGGAAATACTAGTGTCTTGAGAGGAGTTGAGGAGTGTTCCTTAGGAAAAAAAAAAATTTCATGGTCAAATACATTTAGAAAATGTTCAGTTAATCTTAGTTACACAGATTTCTTGGCCATGGGACTTCTCAGAGGCATTAGTATGTTAATGAACACCATGAATCTGTAAGAGAGGGCCATAGTATGCGCTGTTTCCAATTTTATTTGACCTATGGAATATGTTTTTAGAGGAGCACTACGAACAGGGCACTAGTATTCTGAGGAATATCTTTTAGGTAAGATTCTTCTAGAATGTATATATTTTTTCATTCATATGATCTGGTATGATTTAATTTACAAGTTTATTTGTTAAGCTTTTTTTTAATCCTACCTTAGGTTAAAAGTTAATGAAAAATACTAAGGAAATTATTGCTTTAAAATTTTAAATTTTTCTGAACTCTTCTATTTTAGTTGGAATCCTACTCAAAATTAATGAAATAATGAAAAATAGAAGTAAGGGATTTTACCACCAGATGGTGATAAACCTTGCTACTCAAAAATAGTGAAATACTGCATTTCAATGTTATTTAAGGCACCAAACCTTAAATGAAAGATTTGTATTGCCTGAAACAGTGGTTCTTAAACTTTGGTATGTACAAGAATCACTTTGGGTTTTGTTTATAATAGAGATATGCTGATTCTGCAGGCTTGGAGTGGGCCCCAGAGTGTACATTTTTCAATAAGCTCCTTCAGTGGTTCCTAGGGGGCAGCCATTGACATTCACTTTGCAATATTCTATGTGTTAAACCTTAGGTTAGACTGTGTAAAAGTAGGGTATTGAGAAGTTTTCAAGTCTTTTCTTTCAGAATTTTTTAGAATTAAGCATCCACTTTTCCTTCAGTTTATTATCTCTAAATGTGAATTGCATTAAGATGTTGAAAAACACAAGCAGTTTCACAAATAACAAAATAAAGGCCAGCTTTTTCATGTTAGCAATATTTTTTGATGTTTTTAAAAGGTGAGGATTATTTGTTTTAGCATTCAAAGCTGCCGCCTAATTTTATTTTTTATTTACATTTATTTTAAAGTACATTATAGTAATAAGTTATTCACCATTAGAGATACTTTATATTCTTCTTAAATGACAAGCATGAAGGACATGTGATTATCAACAACATCTAAAAAGTTGAAATAGAATAATCAAAAGGGTATAGAAATATATCTATATATACGTGAGTGAGCTTGTCATCCTAAAGTGAATTCTTTTATAAAACGAATGCTCCTTTGGTGCACACAAAAATCTGTTGATATATAGGTGCATTTTAACTTTTAATAACTAACTTTAATCATAAAACTAAAAACCAATGAAGGCAAAAACAAATGAAATATTTTATAGTCTTTTCAGCTAGAGGTGTAGCCACACATAGGCTTTGTATCTTCCATACATAGGTGGTAATAAGCTCTATTACAAATGGTAGCAATTATTTTTACATATGATTGCGATAAAGAGAAAAAACAGATCATCCTTATTAGGTAAGTTCCATTTTCATATCTGAATTCTAATAAATGGATTGCATTATTTCCTTTTCTAGAAACAGTAACTCAAGAATACATGGATCCTGGAAACCGAAGGTATGGTATTGTTAGGGGATCAGAAATATTTAATTAAAATGTGAACTTACAGTTTATTCGTTACAATGACCACACCTTGAGTTCATGTAAGATAGAACTTGTCCTCAGGGGAAAATGCAATCCCCACTATGTTTTGAGAAGGTTATCAGGCCCTGTAAAATATGGTTGAGTGATTATCACAGGAAAAGGGAACTCTGACCATCATGTAAATGGTTAAAGCCCTCAGCTGCTAACCAAAAGGTTGGCAGTTCAAGTCCATCCAGAAGTGCCTCAGAAGAAAGGCCTAGTGATCTACTTCTGAAAAATCAGCCATGGAAAACTGTTGAATTTGCAGTGCTTTTGGTGTGACTATTTTCACCAAAATTAAGAAAAAGAAAAACCTTATGGAGCACAGTTCTGCTCTGACACACATGAAATTGCCATAAGCCAGAATCGACTTGATGGCAACTGGTTGGTTATGACTAATAAGTGAATTGTAGCCAATATCTGGGTGGTAAGGTTCACGTAAGCTAGCTAACCTGCGCATTGACCAAGACTGCAAAATTTGGCATCCATAGAGACTGCCTATCTGACCATATTGCTGCAGAAATGGTGGAAGGAAGACAGCAGAAGACTGTTTTAAAGAAAATTATATGTGAAATACAAGAATCAAGAGTTGTCTGGACAGGCAAGGACTTTTTCCCATAAAAATTGGACAGAATATTCAGCACAGTAGGGCCACCAAAGTGCTTACTCACAGATACTCTGTGAATCTGTACTCATTGAATTTTCTTTCCTCTATCTCCATTTCTGATTTTGTAGGTAAATGATACTGCAATTAACTGATTTTCTTGTTCCTATATTAATATTATTTTCCAGCATCACCAGTACACATGTCACAGCATTCATTAGCACAAAGTTCTTTGGGGTTTTTTTTTTTTTGTTTTGTTTTTTAATGCTAAAAGAAGACAGTTGATATCAGCTACTTTGAAGTCATCTAATTAATGTCTGCTAACTAAGCACCCAGCTGCTAACTGAAAGGTTGGCAGTTTGAGTCCACCAGCCGCTCTGCAGGAGAGAGATGAGGCAGTCTGCTCCTGTAAAGATTGCCTTGGAAACCCTGTGGGGCAGTTCTACTCTGACCTTTAGGGTCACCATGAGTCAGAATCGACTAGACGGCAATGGGTTTTATGGAATTTACCAGAAGATCTGCCTGTTGTGTTAGTTTTTTACTGTAGGAGAAGTTGGTTTTTGCATTCTTACATCATTGCTCCATTGACACAAAAGACTTTCTTCTCTTTCCACATTTGTACATTAGTAACTTAAGAAATATAAGGGCCAATGTGATGTTTTGGGGAAGGTGAGAAAGGAGATAACCATTTTTTACTTGTAGGACTGGCTTTAAGAGAATTCTGCAGTAGTTCTGAGGGCACTGAACAGGCTGACCTGCTTGGCAATGTCAAGATTGGACCAACTAGGCAAAAAAGAGTATACCAGAAGCGACAACTTCTGTCTTGTTTGATCATCAGAAACTCCTGCCAGGGCTGATCTACCATTAGGTACCATCTTGGCTTAAACCTATCATCAGAAATTCCTAACAGAGCTCATTTCTTCATACTTTTACTGTAAATATGGAAATCTTAGGCAATAAGGAGCCTATACCAGGCACTGAAATGTAGTCCCATGTATCACCCACCTCAGTCTTGTTTCACAGCAGTAACTTAGAGGAAGTAGATCTCCTTTACATCATAGTAAAAGATTAGCAGTGTACCTGGATACCCGCTTCCACTTTATAGCTTTTAGTCATTTGTAACATAGGAATTTATCATGTTTTCTAGATCTTGTTGATATTTTTAGCCTTCAATTCCCCAAAAGCAAGTTTCATATCTGTTAGCCACGGTGCCTCTTTGGGCCTGTTTTCCCATCTAGAAAATAAGATTGATAATAATTATTAATGTAAATACAAACACCTGCAACTCAGTTGTCAACAGAAATACCCATGAAAACATTCAAACAGAAAAAAATCAATATCAGTCATAGAAACTTAGGTAAGAATAAGGGAAGTGAGAAGGAATTTCTACTGAATAAAGTACAAAGGATTTTTTTTTTTTTAAGTGACTGACTCAAATTTTATATCAAGTAACTTGTCAGTAAAGCAAGATGGCACCTTAGCTTCCCAATTTTTAACACTCCTTATTAACTTATGTACATATTATTAACTCTACTATTAATCTAAGACAGATACTGAGAGTCCCATCACAATATACTTTATTCTGCATTTCTTAACTGATGATACTGAAGCTACAGTGTCTTGGAGCCTTTGCTTAATCAAGAGAACCACAGCTGGCATGTACCTGGGCAGTGGGGTCATAAAAGAAATCCCACCTCTGACCAGCAGAGCAATTCTGAGTAACAAAGGCAGTATAAGGGACCCAGAAAGATCTCTTCTTAGCTTCTGTACATCAGCTGTTTTAGAATACTTATAAAAGGATTGAAAAAAAAAAAAAAAAAACCTGAAACATGTTCTTTCCATCCTCTTCTCTCCTAAGAACACTGGTCTTATTGCAAGGAAATCCCTTACTCTCTTTTACCCTAAGCCAAGATCTGATGGGTCTCCTTGGATTTACTGGAGGAATGAAATGGGTCTAAGTTTGGTGTTGGATTCCATCAGCACCTGAGTGGACTGTAAAAGAGGTGATAGCAATCCTCAGAGCCTGACGTTTCCCCTGAAATTGCCTTAAATAAATCTATCCTCATTCAGAAATAAGTAATTAAATGGGTAGGAGATTTAAACAGGCATTCACAAAAGAATACCAAAAAGGGATAGCAGTTTCTTTCTTTCTTTTTTTTTTTTTTTTTGTGGAGAAAGGGAGGAGGAGGGTTAGGTAAATTCCTTATTTTTTATAAAGAAATTCTTTTTTACCTTGACAGTTAAATATAAGTTTAAGAATCTTCTTTAAAACAATTAAGTGGTCAACCAAATTGGTTATCAAGCAAATACAAATTAAAACTACAATATCATACCCGCACACTTGTAAGAACAGCAAAAATTAAAAAATCGACAATACTAAATGTTGGTGAGGGTATGGAGCAACAGGAACTGTCATAAACTGCTGGTGGGAGTGTAAATTGCTCAAACTTTGGAAAATGTTTGACAGTATCTACAAAAGTTAGACATATGTTTACCTTCAATTCATCAATTCGACTTCTAGGCATATAT